TAAAATATATACAAATATAGTGCATGGTCAGTCACTTAATACAGCTCTCTACAAAAAAGTAACTTTTTAGAAATTAAAAAACCCAAAATAACCACTTAATCACAAAAGTCCTCTTCTCTCCCAGCGTCCAAGTTCCTGTTTAGTGTCTTAAGGGGAGAGAGGTGGGTTGGGGAGTTCGGAGAATGGGTGGCCTGAGCCCCTCAGTTCCGCCACGGCCTCCACATGGAGTCCGCCGTGAGCGAGGGGCCGCTGGAAGGCGATACTGCGTTGGGGCCCACGGAGGTCCCGCTGTTGCTGGTGTAGACTGGGATGACCGGACCGCTGTGGGCGAAGGCCCCGTTGGGAATGAGGAAGGCAAACTGGCCGTCAGGAGCCGGCACCACCTGGAAGCCACCGAACACCTTAGCCGCCTCTCCAGCCGGGCTGCCCAGCTTGCAGGGCGCGCCGCCGGGAGGGGGCGCCGCGCCCCCGGGGATGGGCACGAGCGGAGGCGGCGGCGCGAACGGCGCGTGCTGCGGCCCGCCGGGTCCTGGTGGGGGCGGCGGCGGCGCCTGCAAGGCAGGGTGCGGCTGCCCGGGGTAGGTCATGGCGTTGATCTGGGTCATGCAGTTGGCCAGGTGGCCGAGCAGCCGGGTGCGCACCTCGGTGTTAACGCCCTCGCACGTGGACAGGAAGCGGGTCACCTCGTTCATGCACTCGCTGAAGCCGGCGCGGTACTTCCCCAGCACGCTCGGGTCTGTGCTTAGCGCGGCTGCGGGCCAGGAGGAGACAGACGGGTCACCGAACGGCCCTGGCCCCGAGGCCATCGCCTCCGCCCTGGGAGGTCCCCGAGGCAGCGCGCCTCCCTGACTACCGGCCCGCCGAACTGCCTGCGGCTAGGGGGTGTGGGTTTAGAAAAACCCTCCACGTCTCCGCACTAGCCTGGCGACCGAAGCCGAGACGCTCCCTTTCCATTCCCTGTCGCTCCAGCCCCAGATCTGCCCTTCGCCCCACGCGCGCGATGTGACCTTGGGTAATGCCCTTCCCCCCTTCCTCGCCATCTGAGCTTCATTTCCCCTTCGGTAGTGGGGGAGGAGGGAGTGCTAAACCAGATGACCCCTAGGCTCCACGCAGCTCAAAACTGCCACCGTTCTAAGTCCTTTCGCCCCCACCCGCTTCCCCACTGCCAAGCCGCCCGGCGCCCTCGCCGGTACAACCTCTCTCCCTCCCTTTCCGGAACAGTAACAACTTGGAGTTGTGGCTATAAATAAGCCCCAGACCGTGGGAACGCAAGAGTGAGCCAAGGCAGTAAAATGTAGCTGAATGCCTCTCACAACCACGGGCGGAAGTCTGGAAGAAATCACCGCGGGGCGAGAGGGACGCCCGCAGAGGGGGACGCGGCGAGCCGCCCTCACCCGTCATCTGCGCCCGCTGCAGGTTCCGGAGGTGCTTCACTGTCATTTCCAGAATGTCCGCCTTCTCCAGCTTGGAATGCCGCGAGCTCTGCGTAGAAGAGGAGGCAAGGGAGGAAAGTGAGAGCCCCGCCAGCGGCCTCGGAGTGCTGGGGGTCCCTCCCCCCGGCCTCGGCGCCAACATCCCCAGACCCGGGCGACAGGGGCCCGGCACTCCCGCCTCAGAGAACGCAGTGCAGGCAGGAAAGATCCTGCCGGCAACGAGGTTTCATTCTTAGTACCTGAGAAATAGTATTTCATTTTTTTAATTAAAAAAAAAAAAGGCAGCATTACCCACTTACATCTTTCTTAAGAGCATCCAAAATCAGTGTTTTCAGCTGACTCAGGCTTTCATTTATTCTTGCTCTTCGTCTTTTCTCCATGATAGGCTTTGATGACTGTAAAGAAATAAAAGAGCCCTGAGTTCCCGTGGGATCTGCCATTTCACCTCAGGCTTTTAAGGGAGAAAGGAGCCCCCAAACCCGACTTAATTTCTTGGGGCTGCATACAGGCACTGCCCTTACCTTTCTGTGCTCAGATGCTGTCTTTGGCTTATCCGGTGTTGTGTTGACACTGGCTGGGGTAGCAGCCACCGGGGACGAGGAATTTTTCTCCATTATATCAGCTGGCATTTTCTCTCTCTCTCTTTTTTTTTTAATCCCTAGAGAATTTTATTTTTGGAGTCCTTCACACAAAAAAAATTTGTTTATGTCCCTTTTATTTGAGACTTTCACAAAACTACTGAGCAAGTGCTGAGGTTTTATTATAATATCTTATGGCTACTTGGTGATCGGTAGCGCTATTCCAGGACCAAGGAGAGAGGTAGACAGGGGATTCCGCTGTTATCAGCACCAGCTCCGGATCCTGTGTGATCCCCAGACCCTGGCGGCCTCTATATATATCTGGGACTGCACGCGAACGGCTCGTGTGAAACTTCCCAAACTTTCTTTCCCACAGTAACTTTCAGCCAATGGGAGGAGGAGACACGCGGCACCGCTCGTGGACCGCGCCCCCCCATTGGCCGCCAGGCACAAGGCCTGGCGGCCAATGGCGCGCGCCTGAGCCCGGGGCACCGGAGGCTACAACGTCAATCAAAAGGATTTTAACCCTTTGCTACTCTCCCGGCTGGGCTTTGCTTTAGAGAGGATTTTTACGCATTGGTTTTGCTCTAGTCTAGTTTATTTTGGGGAGTTGGGGGGGCTAACGTCTTTGCTCTTTATTTACTTTCATATGTGTAATAGAGCTGCTTTGACACTAAGAAGTTCGTTTGAAATATATATATTTTTAAAGGTTTAGAAGGACAAGGATAAAAGATTATACTTGCAGTGGTTAAAAGAAAAGGGAGGAACGTGTGCAAGGGTTTGAGTTACCGAAACATCTAAGTGATTTCCCGCTCAGACTCTATACATTGGGAGGGGGCGGGTGAAAATCGATCACGTAGAAAAAGGACAAAAAAAAAAATTCCTTTTTGGATGCAGAAAAAGGAGAAAATGCCTTCCACCTTACATTTGCAGGTTTTTCAGAGTGAAGTGGTTTTTGATCCCCGCCTCTCCCCCTGTCCCCTCGCCTACCCCTCATTTCTCTTCTGGAGTTGGGGCCTTGGACCCCGCGCTTTCCCAGGAAACAATCAGAATAATTTCCAACTGGGCAGAAAGGAAATGGAATTTCAAATGAAAGATGAATAAGAGGGGCTTTGATGGCAATGCCTCAGGGATGCGGGCGCACCCTCGCCACCCTTTCCCTTTCTACCCGCAGGCTCTCGGTTCTGCTGCACGTTGCGGTGGCGGGCCAGGCGGCAGCCTCTCCCCTCCTTCTCGCCCCGCGGGCGTCCTGGGCAGCCTCGGCACCCAGCGCGCTCGGGCCCTTTAAGAGCTACACCAGCCGAGCTGCAGTTTGACATCAGCCGGCCGGCGAGGGCGCGCCTGGAGCCGGAGCACGTGCCAGGATGTTTTATTGCCGCCGCGGCTGCGGCCAGGCCGGGAGGATGTGTGTGTGCGTGCGTGTGTGAGTGTGTGTGCGCGCGCCCCGGGGGCAGGGAGGCGGGGGGCGGCGGCGGGCGGGGGAGCGCGGGGGCTGGTTCCTGGTCCCCGGGAGAAGCCAAGAAGGTAAATAGCAGCTGCTGTGCTCGAGCCTGGGAAAACCCCGCCCCCTGCGCCTGGCCGGGGCTCATTGGCGCGCGCTGCGTGTGGGGTGTGTGTGTGTGTCCGGGGCCCCCTCCTCCGGCCCCCGCCGGGCCAGGAATCCGAGGGGGCGGAGGGCTGGGAGCCGAGGCCCGGCGCTTACCACCACCGCCTCCCTCTCGCCTCCCCCCGGCCAAGGTCAGCCCTTCCGGGCGGGGAGCGCACGCCCCAGGGTGGAGAGTGGGGAATTATTCCAATGCCCACTCCACCCCTGATTTCGGGCTTGGGGTTTTAACTCGACCGAAAGCCTCACTAGCAACAGCCCAGGGGAAGCGGGGGGGCCTTCTTGTTTGCTCCTTGCCCCGGCCCTCCCTCCCTCCTCCCGCGGGGGCCCCGGCGCCCGCCGCGGTCACGAGATGCCTGACCGCACTTAGGAAGCGGCCGGGTCAGCCTCCTGCCTCCGCTCGGCGGCTGCGGTTAAAGCGGCTTCGCGCCGCCCGCCCCGTCTCGGGGTCCAGGGCGGCCAGGCAGCTCCCCCGCGCTGCGCCCGG